TGCGGCGAGGAGTTCGCGTGCCCCGAGCTGGAGGCGCTGTTCCGCGGCTACACTCTGCGACTGGAGCAGGCAGCCACGCTGAAGGCGCTGGCTGTGCTTAGCCTGCTGGCGGGCGCGCTGGCACTGGTCGAGCTGCTAGGTGCACCGGGGCCCGCGCCCGGCCTGACCAAGGGGTCGCACCCAGTGCACTGCGTCCTCTTCCTGGCGCTGCTCGTGGTCACCAATGTCCGGTCCCTGCAGGTGCCCCAGCTACAGCAGGTCGGTCAGCTGGCGCTGCTCTTCAGTCTCACCTTCGCGCTGCTGTGCTGCCCCTTCGCGCTGGGCGGCCCCGCCAGGGGCTCTGCCGGGGCGGCTGCGGGGTCAGCCGCCGCGGAACAGGGGGTTTGGCAGCTCCTTTTGGTCACCTTCGTTTCCTATGCCTTGCTGCCCGTGCGCAGCCTGCTGGCCGTCGGCTTTGGGCTCGTGGTGGCTGCCTCGCACTTACTGGTTACAGCCACCTTGGTCCCCGCCAAGCGCCCGCGTCTCTGGAGGACGGTAAGTGCTGCCACGCGCCCCCCTCCCTCGTTTTCCTTTTGGTCTGAGACACACCTGCCTAGCCGGACTGGGAGTGCCCAGAGTTGGGCGCGCTTTTTCCTACCCGGCGGGTGGGGAAACTGAGGTGCTAAATGGGGGGTGGTTGTTCAAGGTCACTCAACAAGCTGGGGACGCAGTAGGGACTAGCATTCAGCCCGGGCTTTTTCCCCGAGATACCGTCCACAAAGCGGCTCTGGGCGTGCGATGTGGAGAGGTGAGACAGGTGTGGAGAAGGGGAGGATTGGCCAAGGTCGGGCGGATGGTGAGCGACCTGGAGGGGCAAGAGTAGGATTCACTACTGTTTCACTAGACCCATCCTTACAGAGGGTGAAAGTGGGAAGGGGCGCGGGCTCCAGGCCGGGCTCCTCCTCTGGAGTGCAGCCCGAGGCTCCTCCCTCGCTTGCCTGGAGCGCGTTTGGGGCTCACCTCTCAGCCCTGAGGACCCGGGGTAGAAAGGTGGGGGGAGGGGACTTTGTCGTCCCGTGTGGACCCGCCATGGTCCAAAAGGAGCAGGGTTTGCCAAGGTCACACACCTCCGGTTCCTCCGCCCCACACCACGATCGCCCTGACCCTGGCTCCGCAGCGCTGGAACTTTGTCACTGTCTTCCCAGCTTGGCGGGAGTGGTGGTTGCAAGGACAAGGACGCAGGACGTCTGACTCCTGCGGGCTCCTCTGGACTCT